AGCACCCCCCAGCACCCCCCGCTGCTGTACTCCCGGCACCCCCCAGCACCCCCTGCCCTGGCACCCCCAGCACCCCCTGTCCCTGTACGCCTGGCACCTCCCAGCACCCCCAGCAACCCCCCAGCACCCCAAGATCCCACCCGCTCCACCCATGGGGTGCTGCTCTTGGTCTCCTGGGAGTGCCCAGTCTGGCATCCCAGTTTAAGAGGAGTCTCCCAGTTTGGGGTCTGGTTTGGGGGGTGTGTGTCCCTCTTTGGGGTCTGGTTTGAGGGGTGGGTGGGGGTCCCCTCTTTGGGGTCTGGTTTTGGGGGGAGATCCCTCTTTTGGGGTCTGGTTTGGGGGGGGTGTCCCTCTCTGGGGTCACCTTTTTGGGGTCCAGTTTGAGGGGAGGTTCCCCTCTTTGGGGTCTGGTTTCGGGAACGTGGGGAGGTCCCGTCTTTAGGGTCTGTTTGGGGGGGTAACCCTCTTTGAGGTCCAGTTTGAGGGGGTTCCCCCTCTTTGGGGTCTGGTTTGATGAGTGTGGGGGTCCCCTCTTTGGGGTCTGGGTTGGGGTTTAGGGAGCTCCCAGGTCTGAGGCTCCTGTTTCAGGGGATCCCTGGCCCAGAGCATCCCAGTTTGGGTCTGGGAGGCCCAGTTTGGGTCTGGGAGGCCCAGTTTGGACCTGGGGGACTGGGCTCTGCGGGTTGCTGGTTCAGGGGCTGGGGGTCCCAGTTTGGGTCTAGTTTGGACCCGGGGGACCCAGCAGTTGGATCCCAGTGTGGTCCCGGGGCCCCGGTGTGGGGGGCCCAGTTTGGAGTGGCCCTGGCTCTGGGGGTCCCAGCTGATTCTTGGTCTGGGTCCCATTTGCCCGTCAAGGTTCCCTGTAGGGTCCCAGTGGAACACTGAGGGTCACCATTAGGTTTCCCAGTGGGGTTCCCAGTTGAGGATCCACTTTGGGGATCCCAGTAGAGATCCCAGCTGGGCTGGCAATTGGGGCTCCCAGTAGGGTCTCAGTGGGCTTCCCAGTGGAGGAGGAAGTTTAGGGGTCCCAATGGGGTCCAATGGGGATCCCAATGGGGATCCCAGTAGGGATCCCAGTTGGGTGCCCATTGGGGTTCCCGGTAGGGTCCTAGTGGGGTTCCCAGTTGAGGACCCAGTCTGGCGATCCCAGTGGGGTCTAGTGAGGATCCCATTAGAGATCCCAAATGGGTTGACAATTGGGGTTCCCAGTAAGGTCCCAGTGGGGCTCCCAGTTGAGGAGCCACTTTGGGGTTCCCAGTGGGGTCTAGTGGGGTTCCCAGTTGGGTGCCTGCCGGGAGTCCCAGGGGGGTCACCTCGGTGCGGGCCAGCTCGTCAGCCAGCCGGCGGTTGTGGCGACCGGTGTCCTCGGCCTCCTGCGCCTTGCGGTCGTAGCTGCGCGCCAGCTCCTCTAGCGCCGCCAGCACCTCGGCCACCTCGGCACGGGCGGCCCCGTGCTCGGCACGCAGCGCTGCCAGCTCCCGCCGCGCCGCCTCCCCGCCCCCCCGTGCTGCTGCCAGCACCTGGGGGGCCCAAAGGGGTCCAGGGGGTCAGGGTGGGGGTCCCAGGGAGGTCCCAGGGCTCAGGGTGGAGGGGTCCAGAGGGATTCCAGAGGGGTTCCAGCAGAGTCACCTTGGGGGTCCCAGGGCCTCAGGGTGCAGGGGGCCAGGGGCTCAGGGTGGGGGTCCCAGGGTGGTCCAGGGGGTCAGGGTGGGGGTCCTGGCATAGTCCCAGGGGTCAGGGTGGGGTTCCCAGAGCGGTTACAGCAGGGTCGGGTTGGGAGGTCCCAGGGACTCAGGCTGGAGGGGGGCCAGGGTTTAGGGTGAGGGTCCCAGAGTGGTCCCAGGGATCAGGGTGGGGGTCCTGGATGGGTCCCAGGAGGTCCCAAAGGGGTCCTGCTGGGGTCCTAGGGGCTCAGGGTGAAAGGGTCCAGGGATTCAGGGTGGGGGTCCCAGAGGGGTCCAGGGGTTCAGGGTGGGGGTCCTAGGGGGATCCAGGGGGTCAGGGTCCCCAAGGGGGGCCAGGGGGTCAGGGTGAGGGTCCCAGAGTAGTTGCAGGGGTCAGGGTGGGGGTCCTAGAGGAGAACCAGAGCTCAGGGTGGTGGGACCCAGAGGGGTCCCAGGGGCTCAGGGTGGTGGGGTCCCAGGGTTGAGGGTAGGGGTCCAGGGGGTCAGGGTGGGGGTCCCACGAGTCATAGTGGGGGTCTCAGAGAGGTTCCAATGGGGTCACACTGGGGGGATCCCAGGGGTCAGATTGGGGGGTCCCAGGGACGCAGGGTGGAGGGGTCCAAGTGATCAGGGTGGTAATCCCCGAGGGGTCCAAGTGGGTCCCAGGGGGTCTGGGTGGGGGCCCAGAGGCTCACCTCCTCCTGGTCCAGCATCTGTTGCTTGAGCTTCTCCATGATTTGGCTCTGCTGGTTGATCTCGTCATCCTGGGGGAGGATGGGAGTGTCCATGCCGGCCAGCCCCGAGGGGCTGGGGGTGGCAGTGGGGGTCTCGGGGGGTCCTGGAGGCTGCCAGGAGGTCCCAGGGGCCCTGGGGTGCTGGGAGTTGTGGGGGATGCTGGGGGGAATGGGAGGTCCCCAAGGGTCCTGGGGAGTTTCAGGGTTCCTGGGGGTCCTGGCAGGTCTAGAGGGGTCTTTGAGGGTCCCCAGGGGACGTGGGGAGCGGTCTGGGGGTCCCCACCTTGTCATCCAGCTGCTTGTAGAGCTTGCGGATCTCCTCCTCGTACTTGTGGCGCTCCTCGTCGGAGATGTGGATGACGATGGAGGAACTGTTGTCGTTGAGGGGGGTCTCGCCAGCAGGTCCCGTCCCCATCCCCTCGCCTGTCCCCTCGCCTGTCCCGGCCTCTGCCTCGGCCCCACTCAGCTGCTCCGTCTCGGGCACTGCCTCCCCTGGGGACACGGCCTCAGTTTCCCCATCTGCCACTTGAGGGGGAGGTGGGGTCCCCTCCCGGATGCCAGGGTCCCCCCTCACCGCTCCGCCAGCGGCTCAGCTCGGCCTCCAGCTTCCCGATGGTTTCCTTCAGCGCCTTGTTCTTCTCCTTCTCCTTCTCGTACTTCTTCTTCCACTGCTCGGCCGTCAGCTCCAGGTTCACCGACGCCGTGTTCTTGATGGTCTTGGCCCTGGATGGAGGGGGGGGACCCCTCAACTGGGACCCCCCCCCGGTCCCCCTTTCCAGGCAGTGTCCCCCAGGGACCCCCGTGAGGTGCCCACCACAGTGACCCCCATCTCAGGGTCCACCTTCCCCCCACTTCCCTCCCAGGTCCGGGGACCCCTGATGCAGCCCCCTTTGCCCCCCAGGGGGTGCAGCTGGGGTTCAGTGGGTGCTGTGGGGGTGCGGTTGGGATGCAACGGGTGCGAGGGGTGCAGCTGGAGTGCATGGGGTGCTGATGGGTGCTCTTGGGGTGAAGTTGGGGTGCAATGAGCCCATGGGATGCACTTGGGGTACAACAGGTGCATGGGGTGCTGTTGAGGTGCAATGGGTGCATGGAGTGCAGTTGGGGTGCAGTTGGGGTGCAATGGGTGCATGGGGTTGTAATGGGTACATGGGGTTCAGTTGGGGTGCAATGGGTGCATGGGGTGAAGTTGGGGTGCATGGAGTGCAGTTGGGGTGAAGCTGGGGTGCAATGGATACATGGGCTGCAGTTGGGAGTTGGGGTGCAGTTGGGGTGCAGTTGAGGTGCAACGGGGGCATGGAGTGCAGTTGGGGTGAAGTTGGGGTGCAATGGATACATGGGCTGCAGTTGGGGTACAATGGGTGCATGGGGTGCAGCTGGGGTGCAGTTGGGGTGCAGATGGGTGCAGAGGGGTTCAGGGGCACCCCAACACCCCCAGTCCCCTCCCCTACCTCTGCCCAAACATGAGGGTGGACTTGGTCTCGGCATCGTTGTAGCTGGAGGGGGAGCAGCAGATGAACATGGTAGTGCGGCAGTTGCCCCCCAGCGAGTCCTGCAGGATCCGCGTCATCTTGCTGTCCCGGTAGGGCACATAGGCCTTCTGCGGGGGGCACGGGGGCTCAGCGGGGGCACAGGGGCTCAGCAGGCCCCCCCACCAGCTCCAGGGTCCCTGGGGCAGAGTGGGTGGGTGGTGGGCTGGCAGGGGGGACACGCGGGCTCTCACCGTGCCCTCGGCCAGGGCCGAGATGACGTTGCCCAGTGCCGACAGCGACTTGTTGATGTTTTTGGCCTCATCCAACACGGCCCCTTCAGCCCCCGTCTTGCTGACCTGTGGGGCTGGGCAGCTCAGAGACCCCCATGGGGCCACCCCTACCCCAGGGACCTCCACTCCAGGGACACTCCCAGGCCAGGAACCCCCCCAAGACCCCCAAACCCAAGTATGCCACCAGCCAGCAGACCCCCCGAGACCCCCCCAGTCCAGAGACCCTTCATCCAAAGACCCCCAGCCTCAAGACCCCCAATCCCACTGTCCCACACCCCATGGACATCCTCCA